CTCGTCCGCAAGCCGGTCAAAGAGTCGCCTGAGGCTAAAGCAACCCTCAGTGTCATGGCCAATTTCTTCATGAAAAAGGCAATATTTGCTTTTATCCCAGGCGCTTGCAAGACTCTTCATGGGAGCCGGTTTTTCAAGATTCAACCGGTCCTTTACTTCGTTGAGAATGGAGGCACAATCCTTATTGAATTCGTACTTTAGCACATACGGATCCGACCTCTTTCTTTTCTGGAAAGGTTGTCCGGATGAGTCTGCTGCCCATACCCCCTTTCTCTTATCTTCCTTTTTGTCCGACTAGGTAGGCCGATTCTCTTTTTTGTCGGATCTTTTGTAATCCGTTGGAAGTTTCACGGCACATAATTCCATTGCCTGAATGTAAGCCTCCGCCTTCATAAGCGCCTCGTGAAGAGTAGAGACCCTCTTCCTAACCAAGTCAAACTTAAAAGTTGATCAGTCTTTTAAGCCTTTAAAGAAATCAGTGTAGGCAACGTCATCAGACAATCCATTTGGATCCTCATCACGTTAAACCGCCTGACATATGACCGGAGCCCTTCTTTGTCTCCCTGCTGGATTGCCCCTAGATCAAGGGGCTTGTTTTCTTGGCAGGGATGTTCATAGAAAAGTTGGACATAAACCAGTAGGCCAACGTCCTGAAATTATTGATGCATTCGGCTGAGAGGTTGCCAAACCAACGTTGAGCAATCCCCTTCAACGTTGCCGGGAAGCACCTGCACCATGAGGCGTCATCCAAACCCTGCAAAAACATCAGGTTGGTGTATGCCATGAGGTGATCTTCCGGGTTTGTGGTACCGTCATAGGCGCCTACCAACACGTTTTTAATTTTTGCCGGCTGGGTCATCTCAGTGATTTCCCTGGAAAACGCCGTTGGCTGTTCCCCAACGTTGAGCAGCCGGAGCTGCCAGTCCATAGGCTGGACAGGCGGCTGCTGTTGTCCCCCGAAAAGACCCGGCTGTGCATAGGGAGATCCAAAAGGCGTGTATGGTGTTCCATGCAATGCCAGTTGGATCATATGAAGGTCGGATCGAGCTGAAACCTCGCTTGTCCGGCTGTCATTGTTTGTTCTCGAGTGCCTCCCTGATGTGGCATTGAAGCTGTCTCGAAAGGTCGATGTTGATGCCGACTCGGAACGCTGAGTCTTTTTATCCTGAATGAGCGTCCGGGCATCATAATAGACTTTCTTGGTTCCATCCGGCTGTATGTGCCGGACGGCTTTTCTGAATCCATCTATGGGAGTGTGTATCTTTGAGAAATCAAAGGGCCTAGCCGACATATTTGACTTCGGATGTGGGGTAGATGCCCTACCCTTTACTGTTCTGGCAGTATTTTTTCCAAGGCGCCTATCTTCCGCCTGACCCTTACGGGGGCCGGCAGTATTGTCCAGAAGGCCTTTGATCTCCCCTTTGAAACTCATCATCATGTTCATCCCTGGAGACTGGGGTGGCCCCCTCTGAAGCAGGAGTGAACCCAAGCGGTCCCCTGGTAGGATGGTTTGGGCCTGCCTGCTTCTCTGCCTGTTCCCTTTTGTCTTTGGAACGAGTATGCTTGGTTCTGAAAGAACCATCGGCAGCGGTGTAAGTCTCAATCTCATGATTGTCGGCTTTATCTTGGTCCGAGTGGACCTCAGCCTCACCAGCAGGTTGACTACTTTTACCCGGCAATACCGGTTCTGAAGTCATCTAGAAAGTACTCTCCCCACAGACGGCGCCAGATGTTTGGGGGGTTTTTTATGTGTCTTACGGGAGAGTTACAATTTCCTAGTATGCTCCTTCCTTATCCTGTACCTGCACAAATAACGGAATACTCCGGCTGAGGCTGGAGTGTTCTGCCCCCGAAGATTAAGTTAGTCTCTTTCTTAATGAGGAAATAAGACAATAAATGCTTCTCTATTTGAGAGCGTTTGCAAGGGGATTTGTGTTTTGTTGGTTTGTGGAAAATGATTCGATCCATATAAATGAGGTCTGCCCTTACTATTTATAGTAGGGGAGAGCTGTACCTCAATTAGGGTACAATGACACGTGTCGCAAAAGGATTGGGCCTTTACTGACCGTTGCAAGCTTGACACGTGGCAAGCCTTCATAGGGCCACGTGTCTTAGGGTATTTTTACCCTAAACAGCCATCATGAGAAACAATTACATGATTGATTAAAGAAAAGGTAATATAATCAAATCATTATTTAAAAAATGGCTGGTCATTATTATAATTATTTTTGTCATTGATTGAATCATTATTATGATTATTTTAATCATTGTGTAAAAAAAAAAAAAAAAAACAGTTGGTTGTGGCTGCATCCTTGCTAAGATCGGCTGTATGTATGAGGTCTAAGCCATGAACTGTTCGGTCGGGTGATGCTCATGCCACACCATTGAAACCGGTTGTGGGTACAATGAGAAATGGCCGAGTGTGGGGCTGGACGCTTTTCTGCGTTTGTAGGGATTGAGGTATTGCCTCCTGTGAAGTCCTGCCTCCTATATACATCTTGCCTCCTGTGAAGCACTGACTCCTGCAAAGCATTGCCTTTTGTGAAGCATCGCCTCCTGTATAAGTGTTGCCTCCACTATGGGTTGGCCGCACAAGTGTTGTTCATCAAGCCGAGCCAAGGAAAGGTTGGATGAAAGTCGCTGGAGTCTCACCATTCCAACCGCCTGTGGTCACACTCTACAACGACATGATCATACTCCAATAAAACCGGTTGTATGTATATGGGTTGAAGCCTAACCAATTGGGTTAAGGCATTGCCGCTTGGGGTATCATCAAGTAGAGCTTCAGAAGAATGCCTGGGTACCTCGGCAAATTCTTACTCTTTCTTCCGAGTGTATGTTGCTTGGAGTCTTGCTACATGTATATGGGTTGACAGCGCTCCTAGCGCTTGAAATTCGAAACTAACTCAAGCGGCATGTCTCATGGCCGCCTGTCACCATTTGAAGAGCTTGGTATCATGAGTTAGTAGGAGGCATTTCAATGCCATCCAGCATATTGACATCCTCCATCGGAAGGTACCATTCTAACAAACTCAGTACAAGTATTGTGTGCATCCTTATTGTTATTTGATTTTTAATACCGCATCTTACTTGGTTTTTCGAAAACATTTAATATTGGTTCAAGTCTCCCTCAAAGGCAGCATACCGATCGGAACTGGTCTAAAAGTATGTTGAGCAGGCTTAAGTAGAACCACCGCCTGTGCAATTTGCAGGCGGCAAAAAATAAAACATTGTTCTAAGCGATCAAGCGAAGGCCAATGGCCGGAATGATCAAGTGAAGGCCAATGGCCGGATGATCTTATTAAAATAAAACAATCCGTCTGCTCCAGCAGGCGTCAGGCGACGCCCATACGGGTGAATTTGTCGCAGAAAACATCTCCCTTCCGGGTGGTACATTGTTCTAGCGGTCATAACTCAAACGACTTTAACCGGCTAAGGTTAAAGATACCTCACGGCTATTTGAATGATCCATTGTAACCAAGATATAACCGGTTTTCACTGTAAAACAGTACAACCGGTATTTTCTGCAATGCGGTACCCCCAAGCTTTACCTTAAGGTAATACAGCCAGTACTCCCCGCAGAAAATTACAGCTGCCTGTACTACTAGATGGTACAAGCGGCACATGAAATCTTGGTCATAACCAGCGTTGCTTAAAGCACCCTAAACGGTTATGCACTCGAATGATCAAGCAACGGCCAATGGCCTATGATTAAGGGATTTTGCTCCCACCAATCGGAGTGCGCCACGTGGGCCAATCAGGTTCTGCCAAGTGTCCTCCAGTTGGACCTGTCAGAGCCTGCCACGTGGCATGCGCCTATTTGTCCACCAAGGACCTATTATGTCACGACACGTGGCATCCTCCATGCCTAATGGAAAAACCGGCCACCTAGGCCCAACTTTCAAGGGAAGCCCAATCAGCAAGAGGTTAACCTAAACCTAGGATTGGCACGCTTCCCAAGGTTATAAATACCTTCATTAATCCTCACTAAACGAGATTACGCTCATTAATTGCTCTCACCTAGAGAAACACATTTTACCTTTCCGCATTAATTACTCCTTAAACAAGTACTTGACCGTTGGAGGCGGAACTCTAATCACTCGGAGTCTCCGTTTGTTTTGCAGGTACAGGCGTCCGGTTCCAGTATCGGAATTGTAACTCTCCCGCAGGACATCAAAAAACCCCGAAACAGCCTAAATGATCAAATAAAGGCCAACGACCAGATAATATTGCATGCAAACCTCCACTTGATGGTCGACAGTCCGCCTAGGCTGGGGCTATCAGCATAATGGGGCTAAGGCCCTGTTTAGTTCACCTTATTTTTACTTATTTCAGAAAAAATAAGTTCAGATCAGATCAGATCAGAAAAAAATAAGTTCAGATCAGATCAGATCAGAAAAAATAAGTTCAGATCAGATCAGATCAGAAAAAATAAGTTCAGATCAGATCAGATCAGAAAAAATAAGTTCAGATCAGATCAGATCAGAAAAAATAAGTTCAGATCAGATCAGAAAAAATAAGTTCAGATCAGATCAGATCAGGAAAAATAAGTTCAGATCAGATCAGGAAAAATAAGTTCAGATCAGATCAGATCAGAAAAAATAAGTTCAGATCAGATCAGAAAAAATAAGTTCAGATCAGATCAGATCAGGAAAAATAAGTTCAGATCAGATCAGGAAAAATAAGTTCAGATCAGATCAGATCAGAAAAAATAAGTTCAGATCAGATCAGAAAAAATAAGTTCAGATCAAATTATTATTATTATTATTATTATTATTATTATTATTATTATTATTATTTATTATTATTATTATTATTATTATTATTGATTTATGATGTTTCGGATTTGATTTTATCGTGTGTTTGAACTAGCAACATTGTCTATGTTATTAAATAGCACAAACAATAAACGATAATAATTAAAATTTCATTATAAGCTCCAAATCATAAACGTTTACAAATATAATTTTCATTACAAGAAGTTCCAAATTTCTTTCGCTATATTAAGTTGTACTTCTTTCATTACAGCTTTACGATTCTCGTTAAACAAATCATAATCTGCTCTTGGTTCGATTTCTATACCACTATCAATGGGTATATCCAACTCATGTAATCGAATAAAAATGTGAAGTGTGAATGTAGCAACCATAATTGCCAATTGATGTTTAGTGTCCATTTGTGGCATCATTGTCAATATTTTCCATCGACCTTTTAATTGTCCAAAACATCTCTCGATCGTTGTTCGAAGTGAAGAGTGAAGATAATTAAAAAGTCAAGCATGCCTTGTGGTGGTGGACCATTTCGAAATCCAGGCAAATGGGTTCTAATATCTTTTTCTTTTATTGGACTCAAATATCCAACGGTATTCGGATATCCAGAATCTACTAGATAATATTTTCCTGTTACAAAATAAAGTTATACATCATATTAGTATAGTGTCATGTATGGAGTAAAAACATACACTATTTTAAATTATACCTGGAGGTGGATGGGGAAATCGAAATTCTGGTACAGTTAAGCAATGGTTCCATACAGTAATATCATGAGCACTACCTTCAAATCCAACGTTGATAAACGTGAAAAGCCTATCAAAGGAACAGGCAGCCAAAACATTCCATGTTTTTTTTCCTTTACGCCCTCGATGTGCCACACCATCATCATCGCTTACAACTGCATTTATATGAGTCCCATCCAATGCTCCAACACAATCCTAATAGTTCATTAACATTTAGGATACATTTTATAAGTGATTATACATTGCATATTTATAAAATAATATAATGACAATGCAAGATAATAATAATGTTTCTTAATACCTTGAAATATGCCCAATATTTTGTGTTGTCACCTATTTTTTTTGGCACCACGGTCAAACTTTGGTATGGTCTTATGATCTTGGTAGACAAATGAACCATTGTTTCCAGTACTTGTTTAAAGTACAACCCAATTGTTGCAATAGAGTGCTGAAATCGACCGGCAGCATCACAATAAGAACTGCCTTTAGCCATGATATATAAAAATTCGGGTCGGGTTAGTAATAGGTCAGGTTAAATTTGGGTCGGGTTAGGAATAGGTCGGGTTGAATTCCGGTCGGGTTAAATTCGGGTTTTGACGGGTTAAAACGGGTCAATGTGTCATTCCCACACAACCATACACGCATGAATAAAAAAGGTTCAATAGAGGAACAAATGAATAAAAAAACACTTAAACTCCCTAAACAAGTTAAATATAAAAGCTTAAATAAAAAAAGGAAAATGAAATCTAATAATCACACCTTTGCTCCATCTTCCAGAAACAATCTCACCTTTTGAAATTTTAGAAACAATTCCATTAACAATAACGATATTATTATTATTTAATAATAATAATATGATATAATATAATAGTAATAATAATAGTAATAATAATAATATAATATAATATAATAATAATATAATACAATATAATATAATAATAATATAATACAATACAATATAATATAATATAATATAATAATAATAATATAATAATAATAATAATAATTAATATCATAGTAATATAATATCATATAATAATAATAATAATATAATATAATATAAATTAAATGATCATAATAATAATAATAATAATAATAATAATAATAATAATAATAATGATAATAATAATAATGATAATAATTATAATAACAATAATAATTAAACATTAATATTGATTAACATTAAAAGTAGAATATTGAAATAATTAAAATAAGGTCAAATTAGAAAAAATAAGTTCAGATCAGATCAGATTAGAAAAAATAAGTTCAGATCAGATCAGATCAGAAAAAATAAGTTCAGATCAGATCAGAAAAAATAAGTTCAGATCAGATCAGACCAGACCAGAAAAAATAAGTTCAGATCAGATCAGATAAGAAAAATAAGTTCAGATCAGATCAGAAAAAATAAGTTCAGATCAGATCAGCTAAAATCAGGTGAACTAAACAGCCTCTAAAAGCAATAATCATCGCATCTGTCTAGTTCAGCGGCAATCATTATTATGATTTGATTAACTCGGAAAATGCCGTACCATTTAAGGTATCAAATTTTCCAAGTCAATCAAATCTCTCCCCAATTAAACTAGACAAATGCCGACCAAAGAGGCTCAAGCGGTCTCGTATTCGAAAGGAGCAATCCCTCTTAAAAGAGTGACTACTCCTTCCGAGGGGCTAATGTTTGGGGGTAAAAATACCCCTAACAAACGGATCGCTGTTAACGCATCATGTGTCCCAATAGCATGCTGACACGTGTCACCAAAACCCTAGAAGGGAATTGATGTCCTTCTCTATAAATAGAGGAACCATCCTCATTTATAAGAGAGCACACAACAATATACATTAGATACATATTCAATACACACCAAACCGAGCAATCTTCATTGCAGAACCCTCCTGACTCAGGAGGGGTAATTACCATTTTCCACGCTATACTCCTCAAACACGTTCTAACTTGATCGTCGGAGGCGGAACTCCCAGTCCCTTGGGAGTCTCCGTCGTTGTTTTGCAGGTACAGGCAGCCAGAGGTCAGTCTCGGTGTTGTAACTCTCCCGCAGGACACATCAAAAAACCCCGAAACAATACTGACTTTTCTTCATTTGTTTGGAAAGTAGGGTAGAGGTTTGCCAATAGATCCAAGTTTAGATAAGCTGTTAGCAAATATGCAGTGATGCAAGGTAGGGATGTGGGGTATGTGATAAGCAATAAGAAGAAAGATCAATTGGGTGTGAAGTGAGTTGGTGAGTGCCCTTTTTATCTGTACTGCTCAATGCATACAAGAGACAGAACATGGTTGGTGAAGACAGTGGTGGACTCTCATACATGCCATAGAAGTATGAATAGGAACAGGCAATTAAAAAGCACATGGCTTGCAAGGCAGCTGTTGGAGGTCTTCAAAGAAAGGCTACACTGGCCAACAAAGAAAATCATAGAAACAGTTAGAAGAGCCTATAGAGTAATCATCAAGAGAGACTTTGCATACAAGGTTAATGCTATGCCCATAGGTTGCTGCATGGAAGTATGAAGGACCATTACATGAAGATTGAGAGATATGTACAAGGTCTGAAGATTGCAAGTCCTAACACAACCTTGGATTTGGTGGTTGATGCAAGTCCAAATTACTCAGTCCTAATTTTCAAGAGAATGTTTGTGTGCTTTGATGGAGTGAAAAAGGGATGGAAGGCAGGTTGTAAAAGAGTCATTTGTGTTGATGCAGCTTTCCTGAAGACATTCCTTGGGGGCCAAATAATGACAGCAGTGGGTAGTGATCCTAATGACCAAATGTTCCCTATTTCATGGGCTGCTGTTGAAGGAGAGAACAACCTGTCTTGGGTTCGGTTCTTCTCCCATCTGCAATCATGTCTGGACTTAGGAGAAGGAGCTGATGTAGTTGTAATTTATGATGAACATCAGGTGAATAATACTTCCATAATCTATTGTTGTTTCGGGGTTTTTTGATGTGTCCTGCGGGAGAGTTACAATTCCAAGAATGCCCTTCGACCGCCTGTACCTTCAAAACCACGAAGACTCCGGTTGGGTGGAGCTCCGCCTCCGACGATCAAGTCAGTGATGTACGGGAGAAAGAAAGTGCGTAAAAGAGTAATTACTTCTCGCATAATGGGAGAATTTCGCAATTCATATTGCTCGGTTTTTGGTGTAAGTGTATTTATGATTGTATTGAATGCCCCATTAATGAGGATTCTCCCACTATTTATAGTGGGGAGCATTGGTTCCCCATTTAGGGTTCCTAGGACACGTGTCAACAGGGGATTGGAGCCCTGCTGACCAATGGCAAGGTGCCATGTGTCGCTCAGCCATTGGGCCACGTGGCTGGGGTAATTCTACCCCAAACATTTGCCCCTCTCAGGTGCTGACGTGGCAAGATGCCAAGTGGCACCTGAGAAGAGAGCTGACGAAAGATAATAATAATAATAAAAAAATTTATTTTTATTTTTTTATTTATTTATTATTTTTTTTTTTTTTTTTTGGAAACCCCTTCAAATTCTAACTGAAGGAAGAAGGAAAAGCAGAAGGGGAAGGGTCGCGCCCCTTCGCCTTCCGGGACGACCCCTATAAATAGGGGAGGAAGCACACGAAAGCTCATTTACAAACTTCGTGAAATTTCTTAAATTTTGAGAGCATCCGGCATTTGAGAGCATCCGGTACTTGAAATTCAGAGCACACGGAGATTTGATAGTTTTAAGAGCAGCCGGTTTTCAGACCGCCTGTGAAGTAGCAAGCAAGAAAAAGATTTTTGAGAGGGTACCCCAGAGAACCCAGCCGGTCTTCAAACCGTCTGTGTCTTCGCAAGCATCCCCAAGAAATTTTCTTGAGGTTTCAGCGCTCTACTCTAGGTACCGCCTCTATTCCTTCCCACTTTTCCATGTATTTCCGTTTGCGTCTTTTGCTTGCATTTTTGTTTATAAGTCCCATAAGTAGATGGACCCTTTATACTCATACCCGCACCATAGTTGTGAACTCAGCCGGTCAACTAGTACGGCTGAGTCTAGAACTGGATCTGCCGCCTCTGATCTTTGGAATTTCCCCTTTTCAACGCCTGTATCGACCGACTCCGTGTCTATGCAGGACACCATGGCCAGAATTAGGGGAACAGCTATGGACCCCAATTAGAGAGGCGGAGACTCAAATGAGTTATCGCCTGAAAATCAAGGCCCAGACGAGGAGGTTAGAGAACCATCCGGCGGTACCCCCACCACCCCAAGCGATAGCATTCTAGGCTCCTACAACGAGGAGACCTCTCCGGCTGAGGAGGCTGAGCAGCCAGAAGCAGCCAATGAGGCTCCCAACTCCCCATCCGGCTCTGATGACGGTCGGGTTGAAAGCAGTAGCTCCAGCTACTTAACAGTGTCAGAAGATAGCGAGGAGGCGGAGAGGCCTTCGTGGCAAAGCTGAAACGACCCTCTCATGATCGCCGACTCCTTGAAGGACCGCGCCCTCATGCGGTCTTCTCTACAAGACTTTATCACCAGGTAGCCGCTTGGTGAAGGATACAAGATGACCGTGCCGGGGGAGTTCGGGACCGTTGTATGGGAAGATGACCAACCCAACGCTAACGGTTGGTTTGGGTGCTACGAGGCGGCTTTTCTAGCCGGTGTCCGCTTCCCCCTTCACAACACAATCAAGGCCATACTTAGGGGGTATGGCCTAGGCGTTTGGCAGCTCACCCGAATTCTTGGGTGAATATTTTAGGATACATCGCCGCCTACGAGATGCAGGGTCTCAACCCCGGCTGGGAGGCGTTTTCCCATATGCACTACCTGAGCCGGAGCCCAGGCGGCTGGAGGGCCTGGTACACCTTGACAACTCACCCCCAATACATGATGACCTTGGACAAGCCGTCTAAATGGTCGGACTGGAAGAACCGGTTCTACCTGGTCAAGGCCCCGTCTGAGGAGGAAAACAAGGAGTACCAGACCTACAACTGGAAACCAGAGCTTATGGGGCAGAAGTGCCGGCTGCCCCCAGTTCCCGATAATGATAGGAGGGCCATTCTGGACTCCGGATTTTTTGAGTTGACCTCTACCTCTCTCTCAACCGGAGAGATAATAAGGGTACCCAAGAACTGGGTTCCCAAACACGAATTTTTCAAGGACGAGTGCTTCTTGTCCGCTTGTGGGCTTAGCAGCATGTTTAAGACCAAAGGTTACGAACCCTAGCCGGTTAATTTGATGTCGGCTGACCTTTTTCTCTTGATTGAAATGTAAAATTCATATTTCTGACCGGATGTACTTTCGTTTTGCAGAAGAAGCTAAGAAGATGCTGCCCACCGCCAAGACACTCGCAAAAAAGTCTTCAGATATCCGAAAGGAGAATCTGGAGAAGAAACTTGCCGCTCAGGCGGCTAAAAAGGTTAGCCCGCCTGACCTTCTCTATGTGTTTGGCTTTGATGTTGTTTTGGCTATTTATTCATCTAACCGTTTGTGGTCTTGTTTCAGGATGGGGGTGTTATTCCCCGTTCTTTACAAAAACAATTCCGGC